GAGGTGATAATTGGGGAAGCTATCTTTGTAATGGGTAAGGTAGTTGGTGTCTTTGTTGATTCTCCCCCTACCCCGCGGAGAGTGTTGAATTTTAGCATGAATGACAGTTCAGAGGATTACCTTTCAAGTGCAGATTTGAAAGTCTTCTGGAGTAGGATGCGTGTAATTAGGTCGTTGAGACAGTGTCCTGTCATTCATGCTAAAATTCGACACTCTCCGCGGGGGACTCAACAAAGACACCAGCTACCTTACCCATTACAAAGATAACTTCCCCAATTATCACCTCTAATACCATTAGCTCACAGACATTTACCTTCCTTCCCCCCACCCATGCATCCTCCTTCTGTTCTGAAATGTGATTTGTCCTTTTCATTTTTGTTCATTTTTTTTAATTGTATCCTTTGGTATATATGGTTGTGACTATTTTCTTCCACTATTTGATCTGAGGAAGTGGGTCTGGCCCACGAAAGCTCATCATCTAATAAACCATCTTGTTAGTCTTTAAAGTGCTACATTGTCCTGCATTTTGTTTCAGCTACCCCAGACTAACACGGCTACATTTCTATCACTATTCCACGGGGCAGAGAAGCCCAGCATGGCGCGGCAGCTGAACTCGGCAGCAGTTCGCCAGGTGTGACACTGAGCTCTTGGGCAGGACCCTCACTTCCTTAGGAGTTTTCTTCCGGGCGAAAGGCAGAATCGTCTTTAGTGCCGGTTGAAATGTTCCAACGTTCTCAAGTGTGAGGAAAACGTTCACTAAACTTCAGATTTACATGGAAAACAGCAAGCAAGCGCCTCAGTGTGCAGGCTCAGGTTCCCTCCTGTTTGCACTGGACAGAACTGCGTCCTCCGAACGGCAGGCAGACCCGCTCTCTCCCTCCCAGCAAGCTTTCAGGAAGGGGGAGGCGCACAGCCTGGCGTTTACCTCCAGTGGTGGGAGCTGCAGGGAATGAAGTCAGCCTCCTGGGTCGCTTTCTGCAGGCTGCCTGCCGGAAACCCTCCTTCTTCGGGCCTGCTGTGGAGCTTCCGAGCACCCTGCTTCCTCCGCACCACCGGGAGGATGTGGAACCGGATCATTTTCCAGCCACTGGACACCAGCAGGGACAGCTGCAGCCCTTCCTCCTGCAGGCTCTCTGCGCTGACCTGACCTGGGAAGGGTGGGGGTTGCTTTAGAAAACAGGCGTAGAGATCTCCTTGTCCTCCCCCTCCCCCCCTTCTCTGGGTGCCTTGGCAGCCGGCCCCACTTCAGCCGGGCAGGGCCCTCAGGCCTGGGGCGTTCGCCCTGTTCTTTAAAACAGACCGGCCACGCCTGGATGGGGCCCAGCGGCAGTGCAGCGACCGGCCTTGCCGAGTCTGGCCTCTCTGCGGCAGAGCAGGGGAGACCGTCGGCGAGAGCGGGGCATGAACGCCCCTTGTTCCGCACCTCCGGGCATGGCAGCCGCTGCTGCTGGGGTGAGACCAGTGGCTGAAACAAACCCACGTTGTTGGTCGGTTGCCTGTGGGTTCGTTCCTCCCCCTCTGGACGTCCCCTAGCAGCTCCATGGAGCCACAGCTGGACAGCTCCTAGGCACTTGGCGCTGGAGCAGAGCAGGGGACGGGGCCTGTCGTACTGATGGTCTTTGCTCCAGCCACTCCCTTTCCGGATTCCCCCCTCCCCCCCGCACTTGCCAGGCTCTGAATGCTCAGTCCTCCAGCACAGCACACTGGGCTGGGACCAGGCAGAGGAACCAGGAGGCAAGGCTGGTGATGGGGCAGGCAGGAGCCAGGAGAGCGGTGGATGTAGCTGTCTCGCTGCCTGCTATGACTCCAGAGCAGGAGCACCACCCTCTGCAGAGACTTCTAGGGCCCAGGGCACAGAGCCCAAACCGGGGTGAGCTCTGCGCTCCGACTCCAGCAAGGGTGAGCCCCTCTGCACTGGAGCGGCAGATTGCTCCCTTGGGTGCCCCCATCTGCCCAGCCGCCTGTGTGCTAGCCTGAAGCACAGCCATAGCCAGCTTAGCCCCGTCCCAGAGGAGCAGGCCGGCTGCAGCTTAGCTCTCGCCCCTGGCCCAGCCTCTACTCCGCTCCAGAGAGACCGAGACCACGCCCAGCGGAAAGGAACTTACAACAGACACAGGGCGAGCTACGGCCCTACGCTCCGAATGGGAAGAGACGCGTCTGGAACCAGCCATCGCCACACGCCCCGCGGGGCTGAGCCGCCGGAGGGCTCTTGCTTGTGCTAGAACGATCTTGCCTCCCACAGGCCAAGCAGCACAGTCAGGGTCATTCTCCTCTTCCCACGCCTGATGGTGACTCCTCTTCATGGGCAGGGTGCCTTCTTGGTGGTGGTACATGGGGAGATTCCAGCTGCAATGTCCCACCATTGTCCATCTGCTATAGATGGACCTTTCTTCCTGGAAGGGCACAAGACCTTCTGTTGGGCCGGCCTCTTCACGCTCATTAATGTGCTCTGCTGACACAGGCAGAGGCTCACAATCCACCTTACGGGCGGGGCTACGGGCGTGATGAGTCAGACGAGCGCCCCCAGCAGCTCACTAGCACACCGTGAAGTCTAAACATTAACCACACGGGCTGTGTCTAGACTGGCCAGTTTTTCCGGAAAATCAGCCGCTTTTCCAGAAAAACTCGCCAGCTGTCTACACTGGCCGCTTGAATTTCTGCAAAAGCCCTGACGATCTCATGGAAGATTGTCCGTGTTCTTGCGGAAATGCTATGCTGCTCCCGGTCGGGCAAAAGTCCCTTTTACGCAAAACTTTTGCGCAAAAGGGCCAGTGTAGACAGCTGAGATAGGGCTTTTTTGCGGAAAACCAGATCGCAAAAATGGCGATCGGGGATTTTTTGCAGAAAAGCGCGTTGAGATTGGCCACGGACGCTGCCAGTCTAGACGCTCTTTTCCGAAAATGCTTTTAATGGAAAACTTTTCCGTTAAAAGCATTTCCGGAAAATCCTGCCAGTCTAGACGTAGCCACGGGATGCGTCTACACAGCCGGGCTCGATTCGAAACAAGCTGCACAAACTGAGCTACAGCAGTTGCGTCGCTTATTTCAAAACGGAGCACGGCCACAGCACGGCTGTGGAGATGCAGCCCCAAGGAGGCTGCGGGAGTCGGAGGGAGACGTCCTCAGCTCGACACTATTCACAGTCACTGCCTGCTGCGCAAGGCAGACGCGGTCATTTGGGAAGCGTGTTGCGATGGAGACACACCCTTGCTGCTCGTTCTAGTCCTCACTGTAACCGTGACAACGCCGGGGGAGCCAGCGAGATTCCAGCTCGGTATCTGTCGGCGCTGGAGTGAGAGCCGGGGCCTTGGCAGACCGAGAAGGATGCATAGCGAGAAAGAGGCGGGTGTTTGAGCCAGAGGGTCTGACTGACACACAGTTGGGGGCAGAGGAGACAAGAGAACGCTCGCTCCTCCCCTGGCCCTCCTGCCGACAGCCCCCTTGGCCCGGGGACATTCTGTGCCATGAACAACTGTCTAGTGCCCCGATGCCAGGTGCCAGCCACAGCCGGGCCGGCCGGGACAGCTGAGCCATTTCCTCGGCCAAGCCTGGGAAACCTGGACAGACACAATCAAAGAACATGGCCCAGACGGGCAGCCCCAGGGAGGAGCAAGTCCATCGGCCAGGAGCAGCTGGTGGGGAGCACACTCGGCTCACGCGTCTGCGGTGAGGGTCAAACCAAGCCCTCTGGCACGAGGACATGCTGGCGAGGCACCGCTCCCTTGGCCGAGCACGTGATGGATCCAAGGAGAACACGATGCCCAGCTGCCTTCTTTACAGAATAAACCAGTCTGAGGAAGAGGCCGCAGAGCAAAGTTCCCTCTATCCTTTTCCATCTGTGTGCAGATTTTTTCCATCCATGTGTGGAATAAATGTGTATGTGCACGGAGGCATGTGCAAATGTGCACCACCAGTAGAAACAAAACACCTCACTGTCAGCTGGCCGGCATTTGCATCTCTCCTAAGCAGCCGCACACGTGCGCAGCAGACAGGGAGGTCCCCCACAGGCGGATTTGTGTCCCGCTGACATTCCCGCTGCTGTTGTAGCTGAGCCAGGCCCATGCCCTCAACATTCGGCGTGAGGAGCTTCTGTCGCTGCTGCTCTGCAGGTGAACACTCCTGCTGACGGCTTGCATTTTACAAAGCAGCGTGCTGACATGCTGCAAAGGCGGACTCCCGCCTCCCCGCGCTTCACCTTGCATGGGTCACGCCCGAGAGGTTGGACTCGTTGCTCCAGTTATCACTGGCGCAGCCAGCAAGGGGAACAGTTGCCTGCCAGCTCCGATTAAGCAAAGACTGGCGCTGAGCTGGATCTGACACACGTAATCGCCCTGTTTCCACTCCAGCACCAGGGCCTGCTCAGCTGAGCTTGTAGTAAACCCACTGGCCCTGGTCCCGTTTCACAGGGCAGACACACCCCACTGGCCTAGGATTAACTTTGACAGGGCCGCTTCTTCATCGCACCGCTAGCCGTGCTGCTTCCCACCCAGAGAGCCAGAGCTCAGCCCAGGCCAGCGGGTCACTGAGAAGCAGAAGAGCGACCTAGAAATGTCTGGAGACTGACGGCAGCCGATCCCTCGCACGGCTTTCCAGCCCGAAGGATGCAATGGGACAGCGCCAGTTACAGAGGGAAACCCTGGCCCCTCTGGAGTCAGTAGCAAAAGTCCCTCTGACTTCACTGGTGTCGAGCTCGCCCCCAGCCACTTTATTTCAGCATGGCACTGAATGTTCATCAAGTGGCATATCTAGCCCTTGCCAGCGGACGCATCCCAACACACGTTAGACTACAGCCTCTCCATGGGGCCTTCTCGCCCGCCACTGAAGCGCAGCACCTCTGGGGTGAAACACTGAAGACAGCCTGCACCAGCAGCATGGGCCTACATGAAGAAATTCACCTCTCTAGGTCACGCCCAAGGTTTGGTGGGTTTGGTTTTTCTTCTCTTTCCACAGAGAATGCAGCTACCTCAGTTTGGACCGACATAGGCATCAAAGCTGGGGACTTCTTGTTTGTGCCTCCATCAGCAGCTCCCTCTGTCCTCCCTGGACCAATCAGTGCCTCTCGGGATGAAAGGGGAGCGGGTTTCTCTGTCCGGGCTCTGGCTCGTGCCTCACGGGTAGGTTCCAGTTCTGAGTGGATAGCGGCTGCCTTTCCCCGCGGAGGGGCGTTCCGAATCCAGCCGCTCAGGTTACGTCCCTATGGGGGTCCCACCCATCACTGCTGCCCAGGTGAGGGCCCCGTGGTCGGTCTGAGGCCTCTCTCAGACCCCGCTCCACGCCTCTCCGCTGTTAGACAGTTTCACTGCCTCCTCTTCCATCTCCTTCCCCGCCCCCTCTCCCCTTCCCATTGCCCCTCCTCTCTGTGCCTCCCCTTTTCCTTTTTGCCTCCCGCCATCTGCATCT